TCTTGTCTGCTTGCAGGTTGTCATCACAGTGATGGGGCACCAAAGTGCAAAAGTATAAAAGGGTACCTGGCATTTTGACCAGCGCTCCCTGGAAAATGACCACCATTGTGCTCTGTGTCACATGTCCTCCCAGAACCTTGAACACAGCCTTCAGAAACCATTACTGCTGGCCGTCTTGACATTTGCAGTGGGGCTGGGGACAGTGTCTAGAAAAAGCTCCTAAGTCAAGGATACCTGGGTTCTGCAGTAGAGGAATCTTTCCTTTTTTTTTTCCTTTTTTTGGAGAGGTTTTTGCCATAGGGCACATGTGCTCGCCAGAAAGACAGAGAGAGACAGAGAGACAGAAACCGAGAAATCACCCCCCAGGGGGGATGGCCACACCGCAATCCCTTCTCCTCCATTCTCCTCTCGGGATCCTGGGCATGCACACACACACACCCAGCGTGAGTTAAAGCCACCGGCTCCAGGACTCGAACCGCTGTCGACTACATGGGAGTCCAGTGACATAGCCATTATGCTAACTGCTGGTCCCAGTAGAGGAATCTTTTAAATTACCTATAAAGGTTCTTTCTGCAGATATAACCAATTTTATTTCTGTTTTCCTGAAGTCCAGAAATGCTTTTTTACTTCTAGAAGATTAATATTTAGTTAATCACAGATATAGCCAACCTTATTCCCTTTTCCTGAAGTCCAAGAATGATTTTTTCTTTATTTTTATTTTTTGAGAGGTTTTTGCTATAGGGCGTGTGCGCTTGCCAGAAAGACAAAGAGAGACAGAAACAGACAGTGAGAATCACCCCCTAGGGGGATGGCCACTTTTTTCTTTATTTTTATTTTTTGAGAGGTTTTTGCTATAGGGCGTGTGCGCTTGCCAGAAAGACAAAGAGAGACAGAAACAGACAGTGAGAATCACCCCCTAGGGGGATGGCCACGTTGCAGTCCCTTCTCTTCCGTTCTTCTCTCGGGATCTTGGGCACGCATGCACATGCGCCTGGCGTTTAAGCCACTGGGTCTGAGATTTGAACCGTGGTCAACTACGTGGGAGTTCAGCAACATAGCCATTATGCCAGCTGCTGGTCCCTGATTTTCTCTTTATTTCTAGAGGGTTAATATTAGTTAGCAAGAGGCTGTAAGTTTTCTAGTCCCTCAGCCTTCTCAAAGACTTAATGATATAAAAACAAATCTATAAATATACTAAGGGAATCCCTGTAAATTATAGAAACTTTATAGTGAATAATTTTGAAAAGGAAAGACTTTTTCAGTAACAATAATAGTCTTTTTTTTTTTTCCCCATTCTGTAAAATGCAGGCTGGGGGATGGGAAGGGGATGGAATGGGATGCTGTTCCCCTGCTGAGTACAAAATGCATATGCTGTTTTATGTGGAAGTCACGGGTTCCTAATTATCCAGTTTAAAAATGAGCAGAATTCAGTGAGTACCCTTCATTGGCCCTTCATGGTTTGGGGAGGAAAGAAGAGGCAGAAGTCATTTTGGTTTCTGTACTTGCACTTTCAGGAGAGAACCCTACTCTGTTCTCTCTCTCTTTAAAGCTTTCTATAATGGTTAGTCAAATTTACATTTCAACCCTTGCCTAAAACCATCTTCAGCCTTATTTTTCTCCGTTCAGCGTTCTGCAGCTTTTTTCTCTCCCCTTGACACACTTCTCGTAGGTATCTCAGTTGGCCTCAGAAATTTCAGCACACCCATTTCATTTAGCCCACTGGTTTGATAAGTTGTGTCTGCAAATTTGAGAAGAGCGTGCTTTATTTATTAATTTTTCAGCATCTGCACAGTAATGTAACCACATCACGGCATGCTTAAGTCACATTATTGACCTCCGCCAGCAGTTTATCCCCCTACAACACTTGAATGCATTAATATCATTGTAGCATTTTAATTTAATTAGGGCAGTGGTTATAATCCTCTTGGGAACATCATTATCCACTCCCCCCTCACCTTGCCCCCTATAATGTTAAAATAAAGCACCTCTGTTTTTCATTTGGCTGAGAATTTGCTCGAGAGGAGAATGAGCTGTAAGCCCTTACTTTCACTCCCCAACTCCTTTGTTGTTGGGGTTGACTTGAGAAACAGTTGTAAGATTAAAGAGGTTCCCTTTATTTGAGAAATTGGATGTTAGTCTCCTTAAGCTTCTCTGTCTGGATAGCTCTATCTGAGGTCATGGGATTTGTTCCATTTCTGTAATTGCTGATAATCTGCTGATGTGCTATTGTAATCCTTAAGTGTATGGTTAGAGTAACAGAATAAAAAATGAGTCAGCCAAGATTCACAAAAGGAAAGAAGTTAGGTCTGTAATGTGCATTTCCCAGGTGTGTGTTTTATTCTCAGAAAGGAACCTGTGCTCTGAGTGGCATTTCTTTTGGGTCCCCTGATGTCCTGAGGGTGGCTGAACCCAGGTGTGTACTGCCTGCTGACAGGTGGCTTCATCCTAGAAGCACATTTTGGTTTTGCCTCTCTTGGTCAAGGTTACTTCTCTTTTGTTACTGACAAGACTTTTCATTGAACCTTTAAAAAGAACTGCCCAACCTCAGCTACGGTGTCCCAGTCCTGTCCTTCAGCTAAGTGGAGACAGTCTCAGAGAGGAGAGATCAGGGGTTCAGTCATTCAGTCTCTGGCCTTCCTTCTGTAGATTTCATCATGAAAGAGCACAGCTGTCTCCATCGAGAAATGTTGGAATGGAGTGAGAATGGTGTACACTCCCAGAGCAAGCATGGAAGTGTTTTCAGTGTAGCCATACAGTCAGGGAACCAGGCAGAAGTGAAAACACACTGAGCTGTTGTTTCCAAAGAAAGTACAGTGGAAGGAAGGTACGATGTGATATTTTAGCAAGTCAGAATATAAACACTTCAGAGGTAAGACCTAGCTTGACTCTTGTCAGTGGGCTGCAGGTAGATTTCCCAGGAAATGAAATAAAATCTGCTCCGAGGGTTGAATTTCTTCCACCTCAACCTTGATGGTGTTAGGGAACCTAGATACTATGGCCTCTCATTCTTATTGATTAGCTAGAGGATCTTGTGAGTTGCTCCTTGCTTTAAGGGAGAAGCCATTGAACAATAGTAAGAATGTGTATCTTCTTTGTTTCTTGCATTCATGCCATGTCGTTTGAAGACCCTTTGGCTGCACGATATTTTCTTCAACAATAGTTTCACTTCTGCAAAAGTCCTAACAAAACAGAAAGCTATTTCTGGGAATAAAGTTAATGGAAAATAATCTAGAGATCTAATAGGATTCGTGGGTCATGCATGGGTTGAAGAGTATGGAGAATTTGTTCAACAGACTATGTTTGAAACACTTAAAAGCTGATACCAATCTAAAGAAAACTCCTAAGCAAATTTTATATGTGTTTCCCATGCCTGAATTTCTGTTTCTGCTTCTTTCACCCTAAACACCACCAAAACAAACCCTCAAAATTATAACCCATCCTTAAGCAAGCTACTCAAAATACCATGTGATGTTTGATCAAGTTCAAGAAAAGAAAAGTTGAAGGTTTCGCTTCTAGGTGACCTTTTACAAGATGTCTTGATCGATGCAAAATGAAATCCAGGATATATCAGCCTGCCCTTAATTAAGAAATTCTCCAGGAAGCTTTCAGATGTATGTGTAAACAGAAATATCCCAACTGCCCTGGTTGCTGCTAGTGTGTGCCTTAGGGAAGTATGGCGGTTCCATTCGGAAATTACAACAATATGTATATGTTCATTCAAAATCAGAACTTCCTCCCACAACCACCAAACTTTCCAGGCAATGAGCAGAAGAGATGCTTTAATTTGGCTATAGGGCCTGGGGACTTCCCTGCTTCCCTTAGATGAGACGTGAAATGTTAAAGAACTATCTTTCGGAAACATAAACACTCCTTCACTTTAATCTAGGATTTGCTTTTGCTCCTGATTTTGATTTTCATGGTGGCATCTTAGTGATCTTCCCTCTCCAACTCATTTTGGACCTCGTATGTCCCACTTGACTTTGCCCAGTTAAACCACAGAAACCAGCAGAAGTGAACGTTTATGTCTGGACTGCACGTCAAACTAGTTGGTTTGTGGATCTAAGATGTAAATTGCACTGTTGTTGGGCTGAACCCAGCCATTGGTTTCTTGCTATAATTTGCAATATTTTAACTTAGAAGTAATAGCAGCCCTTCCCACTCTGTCCAGTTTGTTCGAATTGATCTAGGAGACTCTGCTTGTTTGAATTCAAACAGGGGCTCTGCCAAAGCCCTCCCCACCTCCTTGGTAGTTGATGAGTATCTTCAGTTTAACAGGACTCTCCTTAAGTTCAGATAATTCTTTGAATGAACTCTGAAAGGAATCATTGATTCTGAGGGGGAGAATGAAGGAACAAGGAGATAGCCGTTAAAGTTGCAGATAATTCCGTGCTTGAAGGTAAAAAAATTAAACGTGGGGTATTTTGGGTTGTGGTGGTTCTACAGAGAAATAGGCCGGCAGTAGAAAAATCTTGCTCATAGATTTATTAGTGACATCTAGAACGCATCTTCGAACCCATCATCTGCCGTTTAGCTGACTCTCTTGGATCTATGTATAGCATCATACTTTGATTAGACGCTGGGGATATTGCCAGAGAAGAGGAAGTGTGTTTTAATGTATGGGTGACATGAGTTACGTGACAGTGGAAAATAGTTTTTGAGAGTGTGGTCTTTTCAGCATTACCTTGGGCCTATTTGTCATTCCCTCACCTTTGTCCTCCCTCTTGACTCAAACCAACCATAGGGATTCACATCCATTGACCCCAGCCGGAAGGAATAGCCCTATTTTTTAGCCTTTCCAGAGTTTTGTTATAAATGCCAAATGTTGAGCATCTGAAAGACAAGTGTGTACAGTCTCTGAGAGACACAGAGAGAGGCTGTTTGCAAAGTCCGCGCTCCAAATGTACCCCCTCCTGTGCCCCCTCCCCCATGGTCTCACACCTCCATTCCATGCGTTCACTGTCTTTTTCCCCCTCCCCTCTCCCTGCCCTTATTTCTAACAGCAGGAACGAATTTCATATACACCTCCAGAGAGCCCGGTGCCGAGTTACGCTTCCTCGACTCCACTTCATGTTCCAGTGCCTCGAGCGCTCAGGATGGAGGAAGACTCGATCCGCCTGCCAGCGCACCTGCGTGAGTGTGGGCACTGCAGCCGGCCGCCCGGGGGCGGGCACACACAGGGGGACCCAGGGGCAAGCCGCCTGCTGGCGGGACGGGCGTGGCGGGTGAGCCAGAGAGGGGAAGCTGCGAGATGATTTTCACACTGGGCAAGTGACTTCAAGGCTCCTCGGCCATGCTGCCTCGGAATCCGCCCCCACTCCGAGTGGCTTTTTGAAAAGTTTGAGATTCCTGCCGGTCGTTTCCCAGCATACTCATTCTGTCTCTGTGACATGGTGCAGAAGGAATCCAGCAGCGTGATATAGAGCAGAGTCAGCTAAGTGTCCTAATAGGCAAAGTGATCTCCCCTGCCCCCCTAAAAAAAGTTTGCCTCAAGTCACACCTTTCGGGTTTTCTTAGGTTCGAATTTTAGCTCGGTGTCTGAGCCAGACTTCCTGCTTTGCTTTTAGGCACGTGTTCTTCTTTTCTCCAGAGACCTCCCCTCACCCTTTGGCCAGACCCGCTGCTTTTCCTCACTTTATATTTCTATATGGGGCCTTTCTCCTGGTTCTTCTTTCCTTCTCTCTTCTCTTGCTTCTCTGGCGCTTACCTTGCCATGAGAGCCTTGGTTTGTAGCATTCCCACCTTTCTCTCCCAAATCTCCCCTACCCCTGTCTCTACCTGCTCCCCTTTGCGTCCTCACCTGCAGCACGTGGAGCTGAGCCAGCACACCTGTGCGACTGCTGCTGGTCTCCGAACAGCTGACACCTGTCACGTCCTTTCTGCCTGACTTCTTGTGCATCTTGCCCTGCCACCCAGCCCAGGTGATAACTGGGGCAGAAACCGCTGGGAAAATGAATCACCTCACTCCCATTCTAATCATGGTATCCAAGGAAATGCCCAATTTCTGGCTTGCCTGTTGTCCTGAGGGCACAAGTCCAGGTCATGGAGGACGCCGGGGCTCACCTTGGCCCTTCCCTTGTTGATTCCCAGTGACTTTGATGGTGGCATGATGGTGCCCGCTGTCTCTCTAGTGTGGTGATGCTACCCAGGTTATTCTGCCACTCTCCTTTCATCCCTCCTCCGAAGGTGCTTGGGGACAGAAGAGAGCGATAGGCGACAGAGAATGCAGGCTCTTTTCCCTCTCTGTGACAGGGAAGTCAGATGACTGATGCTGCGGGGTCCTGGGGAGGCATTGCTGGTTCATCTCCTCTGCACCATAGTAAGAATGGTTTCTGGATTTTTGCACAGTTAGGTGCATGAGAATTCTCTTCCTGTTTGCTATGCAGTGTTTACAGAATTAGTAACTATGGCCAAGACATTTCTTCTTCACTTGGGTGGGGAGGTCCCACTCTACTATAAGCTCCACAGTGAATTTTTAAAGAAGAGGTTGGACTAGAACCAGTAGTTGGTTATGTCGCTGGACTCCCATGTAGTCAACCGTGGTTCGAGTCCCGGACCAGTTGCTTCAACTCATGCTGGGCATGTGTGCACGAGTGCCCAAGATCCCAAGAGAATAATTGAGGAGAAGGGATTGCGGCATGGCCATCCCCCCTGGGGGGTGATTTCTTGCTTTCTCTCTCTCTCTCTTTCTGGCAAGCGCATGCGCCCTATAGCAAAACCTCTCCAAAAAAAAAGAAGAGGTTGGACTGTAAAGGTGCCTGAGTCCTGACTGCCTGCACTGTTGTCCTTGGTCACCTGGAGTGTTATGGTCATAGGAGCTTTCCCTGTAGAGGTCATCTTGTGACCCGTGTGACATCTCAGGTGTGTTCACTTCAGGACGGAGCACACCCATGCCATGTACCTAATCTCATTCATTCATTCATTCCACAAGTAGTTACTAGTTACCTATTCCATGCCAGGCTCTTTTCTAGATATCAGGGGTACAAAAATGAACAAAGCAAACAAAAGTCTCTGCCCTTGTGGAGTTGAAATACTGGTATATACAGAAAAAAATGACAAACACTTGTCCCAAACAGGTTGAGGTTTGTTTCTTCCATAACTTTTTATTCCTGTATTTTGCAACATCCCCTAAAGAAGCCCTAACTCCCTGGGTCACATGTGGATGCCTTGACGTACGTAAGCTTGTTGCCAGAAACTTGTCTCTCCGTAAGAGGTTATGATGTAAAACAACCAACCAGACAGACACACAGACCTGGCAGGCAGCAGGTGTGAGCTCACAGCTAGCACTGCTGTTGGAATGTGAGTCAGTAATGCAGTCTTCCCTGCGTACAGTGCTGTTTGGACAAGAGAATGTTTAACGGCCCTCCTAACTTTAAAGTATTATGATTCTCATTTCAAGCATCATTCTCCTTACATGGAACTGTTTCTTCCCTATCAACTTTTAAATTTTTTCCTGAGTAGACAGTTTCCTCTCTGAGCCACATCTGTTCTCGTACCAGTGTTTTACTAGCTCCGACTATGTGCCTAATACACAACCATAATAGCTCATGTTTATTGTGGGACTACTTGGTGCCAGGCATTACGTAAGGCACGAACTCCTGTAAGTGGATTATTTTATTTCATTCACACAGCAATGCCTAGAAGGTAGGTCTTCTTATCTCATGTCACACATAAAAATTTAGAATTTTTTTTAAGTTTGTTATTTATTTTAGATGAGAGAGAGCGGCAACAAGGATCCCTAACAGGGTCTTCCCATGCCACAATCCCCTCCCAGCCAGACAAGATTATGAGTGTACTGGAGTGTTCAGGTTGACCGAGGATCAGAACCCCAGGCCTTCCTCTATGGCTCCAGCATCATGTAGTGGTGCTTAACTGCTTGAGCCACTGTGGCCAGACCAAAGGCTTAGAGAATTTAAGTAATTTTTCAAGGTCAGTTACAGAACTAGTAAGAAGAAGAGTCAGGATTCAAATACAGCTGTCTGACTCCAGAGCCCAGGTGCATACCATTATGCCACCATATGTGTTTAAAACTATATCTTTTATTGCCAGAGGGTACATGCCAGAGAGACAGAGAGAAAACTCCCCTTTGGGGGGCATGGCCACTTTCCCCTCCATTTCCCCATTCTGCCTGGTTTTGGGGTACACATGTACTGCATCTGGTATGTTTTTCTTTCTTTCTTTCCTTTTTTTGAGAGATTTTTGCTATAGGGCATGTGTGCTCACCAGAGAAACAGAGATAGAAAGCGAGAAATCACCCCTGATGGGGGAATGACCATGCCGCAATCCTTCTCCTCTGTTTTCCTCCTGGGATTCTGGGCACCCATGTATACATGTCTGGTGTGAGTTTGAGTTTTAAGCCGTTGTGTCTGGGACTTGGATCCCATTCGGCCGTGTGGGATTCTAGTGCCTTAACCACTACACCCTCTGCTGGCCCTATCTGGCATGTTTTTCAAGCTGCAGGAGCTAGGCTTCTAACTTCACTTGACCATGTGTGATCTGGCTCCCCATGCACAGGTCCTAACCACTAGGCTATGGGGTCAATCCCTACAAAATAGTTTCTGGATGAATAAATTCAGAGTTGACATTTAGCCAGTATTCACTGATGTAGCTATTGCACTGGTTTGTGGCTAGAATCTATTCTAACTGTTGTTCTGTCTGTCCCATTGTTGAACAGGAGAAACAGAGATAGAAAGCGAGCGGATGGATGGTGGATGATGGATGGATGGATGGATGGATAGATGGATGATGGATGCATGTATGGATGGATGGATGGATGGTCCCCACACAGATAGTATAGTAATAAACGTAGAGCACATCAGTGCTGGCCTTAGAACAGAATCAATGGTTAGATTGTGGATTCAGGTCAGGGTAATAATGATTTTGCCTGAGGACTCCTCCATGGCAAGCTCACCTTAGATACCTCTCTCCACGTGAGCCCTGGGCGCCACCATTGGTTCTGACATCTGGAATGCATCCTCTCCAAGTGGAGGTTCCCAGGCTCCTGCTGTTTACCCTCAGCTGGGGCTTTCCGTGTGAGGCGAGCCTCCCTCCTCCGCTGCTGTCCCAGTACAGAGCCGCTGGTTGTGCTATTTGAGACGAGCATGGAGGCCCTACCATGGCTGAGACTGTGCCACACACTTGGAGATGCATCCCAGCTGAGTTTCCAAACCCCAAAGAAAATAAATACTCCAACAAGGGTATTGGGTTATTGCTGTTTTAATCTGGGATTCCAGACAGTTCCCAGTGGAATGCTCATGGAAAGTACGGGGAAGAATTTGAAAGCCAACACAGCAGCAGGACATTTATGGTATTGCTAGGTCGAAAGCATTTTTAGCTGCTCGTTTTAAAGAGATACTGACCAGGCTGCTTTGCCTGCAAGTGGATTTCTTTCACCATTGATCAGTGGTCTCCAGAGAAACCCTCTCCTTAACTCCTTCTTTCATCATTCTTTTTTTTAAAGAATTATATATTTAATTTGGTTTATTACTATTACTAGTATTATTTAGTCTACTCTAGGATACGTTTGCACTCACCAGAGAGACAGAGAGAAAGCAAGCTGTGAGGTCCAGGACTCAGACTGCAGTTGACCATGTGGGAGTCCAGTGCTGCAACCACCACACCACCTGCATCTTTCATTCTTAAATCAAAACATACGTATGCCTGTGGTGGAGGGCAGAGGGTGAGACAGGGATCTTAGTACCTGAGATGGTCATACAGAGTCTCTCACTCTTTGCATTCTGCAGTACAGGGCTATAATCAAGCTCGAGACACAGCCTGACCAATTAGCAAGTTATTGAGAAGTGGAAAATGATGCCTTTTGCTTTTGTTTGCCTGTGAGAAAAGCAAAGTGATAAATGGAGCAAAGTGTCAAGTGGTGATTATGGAGGACTTGAAAGGGACTGGTGGGGTAGTCTGGGCTAAAGGGAGGAGCAGAGCCAAGGGGGAGATGCCAGACCCATGCCACTCTGGCCTGACTCAGTGTCCAAACTGCAGGCCGGTGCCTATCACCAGCCCAGCTGCAGAGCTCCCTGGTGCACCAGGAGAGCAAACACAGGATGTGCATTGAGAGGGGAGAAAGGGCATCTTTTTTTTCTTCTTCTTCTTTCATGAAGGGTACTGGAGGTTTTTGTTTT